GCCTTGTTTAGGTTTTTTTTGTGGTGGGGGGAGAGCAAGGGAGGAAATCTATAGATACTTAACAAAGCATTTGGTATGACACAGATATTTTTGTACCTTCAAATTGTAGCATGCAATGGACTTTCATGCATTTATGTGCAGTGAAATGCCAGATAAAGACTGAAGGGACAAACTAGGTTACTGCTCTTTGCTAAAACCTAGGAGGTACTTTGATAGGGAGGGTGACTTCAGCCTGCCCCCTACCCTGCATGGTTATTAATAGATAATTCACCTTCTGTATTCACCAGGAGAGTGGTATTTGCACAGCAAGGCTATTTTCAAAAAGCTTCGGTGCACTGTTCATGCTCATCTTTGTTATGATCTTTTCAGTACCCAAATTACCTTAAATTTGCAATTTAGAAACCAAGGCTTGAAAGTCCCATCTGTGTTTTATTACTTGTCTGTGATTCTAAATTGGTTTCATCTATTTTGAATTTCAGTTAAAAAAATGATTCGAAGCTGCAATTTTAAGTTGTGGCATTGTATTCTAAATTGTGTTGTGCAGTTTTGGAGAGCACAGGACAGCACATAGCTGGGCAAATTATATAAATAGAGTGAATAAATAAATGGGTGGGTAGGGTTCAAATTCTTTTTGAGTTAACCATTTTTATTCTTTGCAGTTTCAAGGTCGCAAGAGACAAAGAGAAAGAAATACAGGTGGTCCTCACTGAATGGCCACTCATTCAGCGACCATTCGAACTTGCAACAGTGTGAATGAGTGGTAGTTACGACCGGACCTTGTACTTATGGTTGTCACAGCCTCCCTGATGACACATGATTGAGATTTGTGACCTTCCCTGCTGGCTTCCCACAAGCAAAGTTAATGGGAAAGCCAGAAGGAAGTCAGAAGTCGTGGTCACGTGAGGTTCCCGCTTAACTACCTGCGTGGTCGCTTAACAATGGCAACTGGAACTACGTTGCTACATGGTGCAGTCATGTAGTTTTTTGACTTACAACAGCGCCGCTTAATGATGGAGTTTCTGGCCCCAATGAGTGTCGTTGAACGAGGATTACCTGTACTACGCTATGTCACATTCTTAGCTTACTGTAAAAGGGAATTCCCAGCTATGTGGCACCTCTCCAGCCTTGGATGACCTCAAAAAGATAGGCAGGTTTATACCCAGCTAGTACTTGGATGGGACAACACTAGGAAAACCCAGTAGAAGGCAATGGCAAGCTATTTTGGTTTTCTTGCCACTGGCAAGACATGGAGATGTCTGTGAAGGTATCAGAAGCTGAGACTGACTCAAAAAAGGGCTTTCTTTACAGGGGTAAGCCCAAACTATTTTCTCCTAACATGGTCAAGAGTGATCATGTCTGGGGATCACAGGAACTTAACCTCCTACTTCTGAAGGATACCAACTGGGGAAAGATAGACTCACATATGAATGGAAAGGGCTTTGGAAGAATATTCCCTTCAAACAAAGTGAACACGTAAACACCACAAAACCAAAACTGGGGGAAGAAATCAGGAAGGGTTAGGGTTAGGGTCCCACTACCCAAGGGATTTCCCCATCAGACATCTCAAGTTGCCTAGAAGGGTGCCATCAAACATCAAGTTGCCTGGAAATGTGCCATCAATCATCAAGCACACGTCCCATGAACCAGTAGCACTGGAGCTTTCTTCCAAAGTACTGGGAGGAATAGACTTCCTTTAGCATTGGAGGTCACGTGGAAGCATTTAACACTGAAGGTTGCATGAGGGACTCATTTTGCTAACTACCCTACTATTCTTCAGCTGGATTCCAATTTCACATGGGACTTTCTTGCCTTTCCCAACCCAAGAGGTTCCTCCACTTTTATGCTCCTTTGCATTTCTGATGTGGTTTAATAGCTTGCTTTGAAATGCAGATCACCAAACAAGAGCAGGGTGGTCCTTCTCATTTCCTGCATGATCCTGCTCCCCATTCTATTTCCCCCGAACCTGAAAAATGGCATCTACCCGACATCACTCCTGCTTCCCTGATGCCCTGGAGAGGACCTCCCTCCCAATGAGCCTGCTTTAAGTTTTCAAATCCATCCATTCACAGCTGGAGACCTCCAAGTGGATTTTTCCCAAACTCTGTGATTTCAGGAGGAACACATAGAATATCTTGCTTTTGTCTTTTAATTTAAGCAACTTTGGGTTTTCCTTTTATCCCTCCTGATGTAGTAGTGATGTGTTTTCCTATCTTCCAACTGTATCTTCAAATTCTGGGTGGAACTATCAAATATTGTTAACTATCTAGTATTAAATGAAGCTGATGGGGCACAAATGATCTGATGGTCTCCTTAATGGTCTCCTTAATACAGGGAGTCCTCAGGTTATGACCATTCATTCAGTGACCATTTGAAATTATGATGGCTTTGAATGAATGGTAGTTACAACCAGTCCTTGCAGTTCTGGCTGTGGCAGTGCCCCCATAGTCACGTGATCAAAATTTTGGCGTTCGGCAACTGGCTGGCATTTATGACTAGTTGCAGCATCCCACGGACACATTCGTGAAGTGCCTCTGCTTCAACTCCCCCCAATGCCCATCTCTGCCCTTTTGGTTGCCCTACACTCTACCCCCCCCCCCCCCC